TCACGAACTTACATCACAACATCAAAATCACACATCTAATTATTTATCAATTATATAAACATTACATCATTAATTATTTAATTAACCAAAAAAATTACATCTTTATTAATAACAAATTAATTCTTAAACAAAACTATTAACGCCCTGTTTGGTACAGATTCTCCAATTCTACAGTAAATCATTTTTCATTTTCAACCACACATTTTTCAATAAAATAATATTTTCCATCACATCAATAATCTTATCTTCTATTTCAACCACACATTTCTCATCATATCACTATTCAAAATCAATTATTCCCCCAAAAAATCCCTACCAAACAAGCTCTTAAATATAAACTAGGCAAACGTTTATTGTGCGTTGCTTGCACCTAGTAGATAAAGATGTATCAAAATGAAAATGAAATGCAGTGAAACTTGTGCAATTAGTGTCCATATGAGTGTGACTTTGCTTTTTTGAGTGGGATGCCACTTGGTTTCATTTGTGGGTGTTATTATTTCCCTCGAACAAAGTGTGACACCTCGTCAATTTACGTAATTAATGTTCATGTATCAATCTCTAACTCTCACAAAGAGAAATGTAAAATGACTTTGGATCAAATACCAACCATCTATTTTTTTTGTTATTCTTTCTATAGTAAACACATGTTAATTCAAACTTGTAGTTGAGAGAAGATCGATTTTTACTTTTTATTGAAGAAATTGTATTGTTAATAAACTTTCGTGATAGAGCAACTATTCAATACTTAAAAGATTCGATGTATTACCATCTTTTAATCGAAAGTAACTTATACACGTCAATATACCACAACATGAGTGAAAGACCTAAACCTATATCATAAAGTTCAGTCCAACGCAACCATGGTGGAGTCTCGAGGACTTCAATAACCATTGGATCAAGCCTTGAGGACTGGGAAAGCTCGGCCATCACTTGGTTAAGAAAATCGATCATGACCGAGGCTATGTCACCGCATCCACTCGATCGATATATTTACTCAGACAAGTGATATACTAGTGACGAGACAGAGATCTTAGTCGAAAATACTTACAGTTGATGGAGGATGTTTCCTCGAACCACTTTGTTATTGTCAACATTATCCAATTGTCACGGAATTCTAATAAATTCGCTAATTCTGATGTAGGGATCTCTGAAAGAATACAAAGATACCATGATTTCATATAAAAAATAAATTAATTAAACAGGTTGTCCAGCCCAACAACAAACAATGGAGGTTATGCAATTTCAACTCCAGATTCACTGAAACAGAATAATTTCAATAATAATCTCTAACCTGTATAAAATATGAAATAAAATAAAATATTATGTTATTGAACTTGAATCTCTTTGCAGATCTAGAGGTGGCAAACGGGCCTAACGACTCATCGGCTCGTGAAAACACGAGCCGCTCGGGCTCGTCATAATAGTTTAAAGTTGTTTATAATTTACTTTTATGTTAAATTAATTAGAAATAGCTATAATCTAAAATTTACCTCTCAATTTAAATTACAAGTTTATAAAAATCTCATGATAGGGTAGGATTACAAGTGAGAGCACAAAAATGTAATGTTTTAAATTTGGTTTGGGCATTGATAGAGGTGGCAAACGGGTTGAGCGGCTCGTCGGCTCGTGAAAACACAAGCGCTCGGGCTCGTCAAATGACAAGCCCGAGCCGAGCTTCAAGTGAGCTCGACGAGCCGAGCCGAGCCGCGAGCAGCTCGTGGGCAAGGGCCCACGAGCTTTACTCGTGGGCTCGTGAAAAATTAAAGAATAATTTTTAAAAAAACGTGAAAAAAGTTCAAAAAGCTCGTGGGCTCGCGGCTCGGCTCGTGAGCTCACCAGCTCGTGGGCCGAGCTCATGGGTTTACGGGTCGAGCCGAGCATGCCATCATTAGGCATTGATATGAAAAAAAGGTCCAGGTTAGGAGTTAAATGGTCAACTGAGGTCGAATTGGTGGGAAGTAACTTTCATTTTTTGGTGGTAAATGACTCCCGATTATGATTATTTTTATTTTTATTGAAAACACCGGGTCCGATTTCGACCTTGCAAAAGGTGAAATTAAATATTTTTATCGTTGCCAAACTTTCTTGAATTTTTATTTAGCCCTTGTTTGGTTGAGTTAGTGGATTAAATTTAAGTTAAATTCAACAATTAAATATAATCATATTTTATGGGTTTCATACTTTTTAAATTATATATTTTATTGAAATTTATTGAAAATCTTATTTTTATTTAAATCAAACAGGGGTTTATTCTCATTGAACTTTTAAATTTTTTTGAATTGTTATTGAACTTTCTGAAATGTTTTCGAATTACTATTGAAATTATGTAATTGTTAGTCCATTCACCACTTCATCACTTGTTATTTTAAAAGTAAATGAATTTGATGAAATTACAAATGAAATGACGAATATGATAAAATTTTGATAAATTCATCAAATTTCTTAACTATTTTGGTAAGTTCTATATCAAATTAATTCTTTTTTTTTTTTTTAATTTTAACATTTAAGAAAAATCAGAAAAAATGGAATATTTAACCCTCAAAAGTGGCAATAATAGTAACAATAAATAAATAGTGCTAACAAAACGTCAATAGAACCTTTTCTAGTGCTATTTGTATCAATTTCCCTCTTTGTAACATTATTGATCGATTCGCTTGTGAACCCGAACAACGGCGTTTGCATCCAGTAATAAACCTGCGCAGAGAGTAGAAGGCACTGCAGTGAAGGCGGCAAACGAAGCAGAAACTCAGTGAGTTAAAAAAACTTGAACGATAATACTCTTTATTATTATTATTATGCACGAACGCCGGAAATGTTTTTTAACAATAATGCTTTTTTTTTTCCTCTCAAATTTGATGTATTATTGCTTATGTACGGAATTTTTACATGTGTTCCAGGTTGAGGAAGTTATAGAAGACTCAATTCAGATATATTAGATATTTCANAGACTCACATGCTCGTCAAGAAAAGCAGTGGTCCAAACCAATTTCTAATAGGTGGATAGAATGAGTATCCATCCTAGTGTAGGTGTGCAAGCATGTTGCACGATTTATATCGTTGTGTTTTTAGGATTTAAACATTCTAAAAATGTATGATAACAGTCAAAAAAATTGGATCCTTCCCCCACTGCATAACCTTGTGGATTGGTGTGGATCTGGTTTGGGCCTTGCCCCTCTTGATCCACGGCCCATTCAACCTAGCCCACAAGCTTTTTCTCAATTCATAAATTTAAATTTTGGTTTTTCTTAGTGATGACAATGGGATGGGGATGGCCCTACCTGTATCCCGCTTCAGGTTGCCACCGTTTCATATATGTTTTTTATCAATTTTCTTTTCGTTCTTTGAATATACATGGCTGCCACTGCTAGATTGGCTGGTATAATAATAACGTCTTTGTTTCGTAAATTTTTATGATATATTTATTATTCTTAATTTTTATAATAGAAATGGAACATTTTTCTTCAAATATAAACAAAGCAGGTTCGAGGATGGGAACCATGCCCAATCCCCATCCTGCTCATTCGATTAAGACGGGAATTGAAAATTTCTTCCCATCCTTAATTTTATTCCCATTTTAATGAGTTGAAAATTTTTGGAATAGTGATTGATGGAAGAATGGTGATTGAAAAGTAATGAAAAATTTTAGATTTATGTGTAATATTATTTTATTTGAAAAATGTGTGGTTGAAATGAAGAAAAAGAAAAAAATGATAAAGAGCATGAGTGCCAAACATGAGCTTGTATGATACGAGCTCTCTCGCGAGCTCTTTCTTCTCGGAAACATCTATCCTCATTTTTTTTCAAGATACTTTTTTTTTCAACCACACATTTTTTTAATAAAATAATAGTACACGTAATTCAAAAATATTTTCTTCATTTTTAACTATACACTCTCCAAAGCTTGAGGGGTTGCTCAATTGGTCAGATTTTGGGTTTGCTCCCCAATGGTCACCAGTTCGAGTCTCCTTAGGGCCACTGAGGTGAGTATCCGACCGTAAACTTCAAGATCCCGTGGGATTAGTCAAGGTGCGCGCAAGATGGCACGGATATCCACGGTTATAAAAAAAAATTATACATTCTTCATCAATTTACTATTTTAAAATGCATTCTAAAAAAAAAAAAAGGGGGGTTCAAATCCGAAATTACTAAAGTAATAATCTTGTGCTTCAGCTAGTTTCCCTCTCTCTCTCATAAATAACTCATTACAAAAACCCGAATTTCCCGCGATTCCCTTTATTAATAACCTCAAAAAACTAAACGGTCATGAACGTACCTCCTTCATCGAACCCTTCATTTTCTCTCTCTACCTCCAAACCCTCAAATCTTTCTCAATTTTTTTTAATCATAATCTCTCTAATATCCATTTACACCTTATCAAATTTTCCAAATTCTTAATCTTTTTCCTAAATTATTTCGATATAATCTTTTTATGTTGGATGATTGTTTTGCATAATTAACCCAGTGTAGGGGAAGATATTGCGGAGTATAATCGGACTCCGCCATGGAAGATGAATAGAATATTCACCAGGCCGGCGTCCCACCTCCGCCAAATACGGCGAACACTAACACACCACTCGACTAACGCCACCACCACCGATCTCGACCCCGCTGACGAGCTTCAGCCTCTTGGTATACTATGGAGGTACCAAATACTGGATCCCAACAGCGATATTGTCAATCTCTGGAACCACGTATTCTTGATCACCTGCATAATCTCCCTCTTCATCGATCCTCTGTATTTTTATCTGCCGTATGTAGGCGGCGAGGCTTGTATGTCCAATGATAATGATGCGTCCCTTACAATCACCTATTTTCGAACCTTAATCGACCTTTTTTACCTCCTCCACATGCTTATGAAATTTAGGACGGCTTTTGTGGCCCCGAGCTCTCGGGTTTTCGGGCGTGGGGAGCTCGTCATGGATGCCCGGGAAATTGCAATCCGGTATCTTAAGACTGATTTCATTGTCGACCTCACTGCCACGCTTCCATTGCCCCAGGTTTATTAATTTTGTCATATATTTTTTGTTTCAATTATAAAATTTGAGAATGTAGTTGGAAATCGTGTGCCTTGAAATTCAGGCATTGTCACTTTTGTGGAATGCATTTCTTTTGATTGCATTTGACACAATAGTCCTAAGACAAGAGACGTGTACATAAATTTAAGTGCATTTGATAAGAGTTATTTTGTAATTTTTAAGGTTTGAGACTCCCTTTTTGTTTTGCAGATTGTCATTTGGTTAATTATTCCAGCAACGAAAAGTCATTCTAACAACACTCTTGCGCTTATTGTCCTCATTCAATATGTTCCGCGTTTGTTTGTCATTTTTCCTTTGAACAATCGGATCATCAAAACCACGGGCTTTATAGCTAAGACTGCTTGGGCAGGAGCTGCATATAATTTGCTTCTCTTTATGCTAGCTAGCCACGTAAGCAGCCTATCTTGTCTTTAACACGCTGAATTTACCTTGTGATTATGACTTGTATTCTGTGACATGGATTAAGGGTCTGTTTGGGAGAGCTTCTTCTTCTACTTTTGTTAGAAGAGCTTCATAGGAAGTTACAGTGAGCTTTCTTTAAAAGCTCTTCTAATCAAACAGGCTCAAAAACAGCTTTTAACTTTTCAAAAGTCATTCCAAACAGGTCCTAAGTACTTGTGTACATTAATTAATCTCCATTAGTTATCATTGGCATAGGTATTAGGAGCTGTATGGTATTTGGCATCAATAGGAAGGCAACACTCTTGCTGGAAAGAAGGATGTAGAGATGAATTTCATTCGGTTCCGCCTTGTTATTTGGATTTTCTTGATTGTAACTCTCTGGGAAGTCTTGAACGGGAATATTGGCTGAACAGCACAATTGTTCTTTCTCGCTGTGATGCTAAAAATGATGAATCTGATTTCAAGTTTGGAATGTTCGCCGATGCTTTTACGAGTGAAGTAGCTTCGTCACGTTTGATCGAAAAGTATCTCTACTGCCTTTGGTGGGGATTAAGAAATTTAAGGTGTGAATTTTCGATTGATAATAGCTTCTTCATTAGTGCTTGAGTAACAAAGTTAGGTGTAGTCAATCTGTTCGAAAAATCATGCTTGGAGATCCTGCACAAATTTGATATGGTATTTAAATTCATTTTCAGCTCGTATGGCCAGAATTTGACTACAAGTACCTATATTGGTGAGACAACATTTTGCATTAGCTTATGCATTGGAGGTCTGATTCTATTCGCCCGGCTGATCGGCAACATGCAGGTATAATTTCTCTCTTCAACTTGGTTGGAATTAGAATTCTATAATAGAGGACAGCATTGTATTTACTGTTTATGCTCCTATTCTTTTTGAATTGTTGTTTATTTCCATTTGGAGTTTTTTCTCCAATTATCTGTATTCATTTATAGTTTCGCTTATCTCATATAGACTTATTTAGAATCAATGACGGTAAGAGTTGAAGAGTGGAGAATAATGAGAAGGGATACCGAAGAATGGATGAGGCATCGCCAGTTACCTCCAGAATTGCAAGAACGTGTTCGTCGTTTTAACCAATATAAATGGCTCGCCACACGAGGTGTCAATGAAGAATCTATCCTGCGTTCATTGCCTCTGGATCTTCGCCGGGAAATTCAAAGGCATCTATGTCTTAACCTTGTTCGCCGAGTATGTCATATTTCAGTTGTTATTGGATCTTTATAATATTTTCTTGCATCATCTTTCGCCAAAAGTAGCATCTTTCGTTTCTTTACAATTATCAACTTACTCCTTCGATATATGTTTCACATTGTTGATTGTGATAATGAGAAAAAAAATGCTGGGAAATATGTTGTAGGCTCTACAACTTTTTACATTATGATATTCTGAAAAACTTCACTTCTATTTTGTAGGTTCCATTTTTCTCGCAAATGGATGATCAACTTCTTGATGCCATATGTGAACGTCTATTCTCATCCTTGAGCACAGACGGGAGCTATATTGTTCGGGAAGGTGATCCAGTAAATGAGATGCTGTTTATCATTAGGGGACAACTCGAGAGCTCCACTACTAATGGAGGACGGACGGGATTCTTCAATTCCATCACCCTTCGACCTGGTGACTTTTGTGGGGAGGAATTGCTTACATGGGCTTTAGTACCGAATTCAACTCTAAACTTGCCTTCATCGACTCGAACTGTTAGAACTCTCACTGAAGTTGAGGCTTTTGCACTTAGAGCTGAAGACCTTAAATTTTTCGCCTTTCAGTTCAAGCGTCTTCATAGCAAGAAACTCCAGCATGCATTTAGATACTATTCTCACCAGTGGAGGACATGGGGCGCTTGCTATCTACAAACAGCGTGGAGAAGGTACAGGAGGAAGAAGCTAGCGAAGGAGTTGGCTTTGCGAGAAAGCTTTCATTTTACTTCAATCCCGGGACAGGAAAGTTATAACAGTGATGAGGGAGATTCTGATGGAGTTGATGAAATTTCGTCGATGGATAGTCCAAATAATGCTCAGCATCTTGGTGCCACAATTTTGGCTTCGAAATTTGCGGCAAACACAAGGAGAGGAGCCATTCACAAGGTTCAGGTAGCTGATACCGCTTCTTCAAGCTTAAAGATGCCCAAATTGTTTAAACCAGATGAGCCTGATTTCTCCGAGGAAGTTTAGTTAGTTAGTGAATGATGACAGCAAACAGCAAAGATACAAAAAACAAATCGAGTGAGAAGTCGGTCAGAATTTTCTTGACATGACAGTTTTGTAAATTTTACTTGTAGTGAGGATAGATAATTATAATTCTTACAAATGATCTTTATTCAGGGGTTGTTTGACAAAACATTTGATAAAAGTTTTTAGTAGATTTTGATACAAGTCGATGAATGTGTGGTAGAAAAATTGATAAAAATGTGTTTATAAAGCCACAAGACAAATCGAGTCATGAGTGATATTGTGCTCTTTAAAAGAGATGTTGATGGTGACTTAATGTTTCTAGTTGGGTGAATGCAAAACCAGTATTCTCTTGAAGTAGCCCTCCTTGCGACGCCTCATTCGTAGTTAGCCCCGACCCGACCCGACCCGATCCGAATGGGGCGAAAAAAACCTGTCCCGACGGGTTGGCGGGACAGGGCGGGGAGGGGGTGCCCCGCCCCAAGCACCCCGAACCCGCCCCATGAAAAATAAAAAAAAATAATTAACTACAAATTAAAAACAAAAAATAGTTAATTGGAAGTTTTTTTTAAAGAAAACATAAACGGGGAAAGCCGCGCCCCGAACCATGCCCCTACTAAAGTGGTGCAGGGCTGGACAGGCTGGGGGAGTGAGGGGACGAGGTGTGGTGGGAGCGTCCTGCCCAAAACCCGCCCCGTTGCCATCTCTACTCATTCGCAAGAAGGTTCCCCAAGGTTTGACTTGTAAGGAAAGGATGTCCAAACTGAAAACGACTTGTCAAATCAGCAAGTGAAGAGAGGGTTCAAAGTGTTTTTAAATCCACAAGGCCAGCCTTATTGAACTATGTAGGATATATGACTTGAATCTTTAGATCCCTCTAACAATTTTCCCCAAACTCGTCCAGGGGGCTACTTGGCCCTTGTGAAAGATCAGTTGGATCGAGCGTCCACCTTGGGCAAACCAGTTTATGAGGCCATCCTCACCTCGGAGATAAGAGATCTTTCGATTCGGAAGAGTAANCCGAGTATGTCACTGATTATTAAACCAATCATCTTCCACAAAAAAACCAATCATCTTCGGGTGCGAGTTTTTTAAATGTTTTGTACCGTGAGTAGCACAAATGAAAAGTTTTAGTAGAGTCTGCAATTTAATGAATGGATCAGTACCATGACTGCAATTTTCCCAATATAATATTGATACGGTCTCAGACTCTCTGCCGGCAATCGAAGTCTCGAATATCGATAAATAGAGATGGCCATATATTTTAAGAATTCCAGTTTAATAAAACTAAACTTCATCAGATAACAAATACAACCTACTGTATGAACAAGAAAATAGCGAGGGGAAATTATGCTTTCTAAGTTAGTGTTATTATTGTAAAATGCCAGCAAAAATGTAAAAATATAGTCATAGTTAGCACATCAATATAATTGAATGGGACAGAAATGATTATGGGCACAATGCAGAGTCACAATTGAATGTAAATCGCTTTTCAGAGTTAATTGGCGTCCATAACTAACAATAAATGGTAATCATATTCCAATTCTATTGTAGGATCTATAGCCCAAATAAATGCTTCAACCGCCTTTCCAAACATCTCAAACTTTCATGGCATATACAAGTATACAATAACGAATAAGGGCAATACGAAAAGGATAATACTCTCTGAAGCTCGTGTTGGTTGAGTACCAATGTTATGAACCCAAAACAAGTCCCTCTGGTGTAATATTGGTCACACGAAGGACAGCTTGAGCACTCAAAGGTGAGAGCTTAGATTGACATAAATTTTCCCAAGAGGCAGCCATATCTGGTTTCTCAGATGCAGCAGCAATTGGTTTCAGGACATGAGATTTCTCGTACACGGATTGCAGCTCCAACAACAGAGTACGAGCCGCATCCCTGGACTCAGGAAGCCGGTCACTAAGCTGGGATGCACCTATTTGGATCAATTTGTCAATCCCAAAGGCTTCGATCCCATCAACTCCCTGCAAAGCATGTCACATAAACACAATGTCAATTATCATAATAAGATTTGATGTCCACAAGTAAGATAGACTGGTCTTTTCTTGGCAACTACTGATCTCAGAAGTCGGTTCAGAAGAAACATCGAACATAAGGCAATTAAAAAAGTAAGACTAGCAAAAATGAGTGCTTACCAACCGTGGGACACTTCGACAAATGCACATAGAAGCCTTGGCCCGGATTCGAGGATTTCTGTTCTTGATATAAGGTTCCAGCTTGGGCAACAATAGAACAGGAGAAACCCAAGTTGTCAGAACTTTCAAAGCACTCTCAGCTGCCTCGCATACGAACCTTTTGTCTTGTGAAGATTTCAGAAGAAGTTGTACAAGCTAAACAAAGAATAACAATGTTGTAGGCAAAGAATATAGAGTGAGAATCCATTAGAGGATAGAGGCCATACAAAAGCATATAGAGAATCATTACACATTATCTACATTTGGAAGAAAATGAATTACCAATGGATCCAGTGAATTGATGATGTCATCACTGTATGCTTTGAAAAGGTCAGCAGAAGTCATAATTGCAGTTTTACAAACAGCGCTTCTTGGATTCTTTAGTGATTTCACTACTAAGGGCATCACATCATTCCTGCATCAGAATGCAAAAGTCATGGATTTGAAAATTCTCAAAATGCAGTTCTAAATGGCATTGCATATGTTTTGCCAATCAAAGAACCAAATAAAGATGAAACTCACAACATGCCAACAATTGCTTCCTTGTGAAATATAGACAATCTGCGTACGTCATTAAGTGCCTCACACACTGAAACCCAGTCTTTGGAGTCTAGTCTGGATAGGAGTGTCTAAAAACCAAAACCAAGAGAGAAGTATGTGGGTTATTCTTACGCTATATGCTTGTATAAATGTTATCATATAGAAAGACATTCAAGGAACTTGTAACAAGCATCAAGTGAAGATGCTAGGAAGAAAGCATTCCTACCTTCAGACCATTCTCTACGTCCTCTATAGTATTCAAATTCTCAGATTCAATGTATTCTACTTCTGAATTCCCCACCTCTACTCCATTATTCTCTGTTTCATCTTTCTTAATGGGAGTTACAAGTAAGGAGGCTGTCTTTGTCTTTTGACTTTGTTCAATGTTTTCATCCATTTGCTCAACTTGAGGCTTCATCAAGTTTCCTTTACCAGAGTTTCCATTCCTCTCAGATCCAGGTATTGTATTGACATCTCTGAGAGCGATCTCTGACATTATGTATAGTAGATACCTGACAAAAAAAGAATTAAAAGCTGATTATATATTCCCATCAAAATAGCTAATCATTTTATACATAAACTTTCTTTTTTGGAAGATCAAACTCGGACTACTGTCCGACAGAACTCGAGAATCTTATAAGTAAGGTTGTTCAAGGAAGATCAAACTCAGAGTATCTCAACATAAAACTCTCATCCTCACTGTGTGGTCACTAAAATTATTTATTTAAAATGAACTGTTAAAATTAAGGAAAAATTCCTTAGTGGTTTTTCCATGAACATGAACAACAGAAACTATTTCTCAACCTTCTTTTAGATGTTGATTTTACCATCTAGACACTACATCAAAATTCTTTCCCAACATGCCAGAATGGGACAGCAATATGTGACGGTCTATGCAGTGAATGTAGCAAACACAGTCCAACAAATTAGAAATGATAGTTATATCAATGCCGTGTGGAAACACAATCTCTATTAAAAGAAAACCTAATTTTGACTCCAATTTTCTCAAAAAAGTTACCAAATAAATCTACTCATTCATTTACTTTTCATCAATACACAACGTAGAGTAAATCACTAAAATCAATGTGTGCCAATCACTAAGTGACATCATAAACCAAAAAATCCAAGTAAATCATTAAAAAAAAGAAAAGAAAAAAGACAAGACTTAAAAAAGGTCCATATCGATTAATGCCAATTACCGAGAAGATCTGCAACTCCGCAATCACTACAACCCACTAAAACAAAATAATTTCAAAAACAAATCCAGTAAAAGATCTCACTTAACATGAATACATTAATTACTACCGTGACTTTCAAACTATGAATTCCAATCATATATCGCGTACTCCTAAAACAGATTCAAAGTCAATGCCTTCAAAAATCACTTGAACACGCACATTCTTCTATATACGTACATAAATATGTATATACAGAGAGATTACCTAGATTGATGAAGCGGCGACGGTAAAATGGCAGATAAATTGATCAGCAGATCCGTAAAAATACTAAAAAATGAAAATCAGTGTGGGGGAGTGAGAGAGAGAGAGAGAAATGAATTATCGCGAGAGATTTTCACAACCGGCAGTAAAAAGAGACGGCGTGTTTTAATGCCCGACCCGGGCCGGCAGGGTCGGGTAATTTACACGATTTTTGCGATTATTTACTTCCGTAATTACCCCTGGTTTTCGCGTCAAAAAGTCAAAAGTCAAAACTGTCACTACCGGGTTAACTTGGGTTAAAAGGGATTTTAAAGAGATTAACGGGAATAATTGAAATTTGAAAGTTGAGGCTTCAAATTTTGAACTGACGCTTCAACACAGGGAAAGCTATTTTGAATTGATGTTACATCAATTTTGAATATGACTCTAGACACTGCTCAAATCAACAATTAGGAGCCTATTAATTAATTAGAAAATATAATTTTAACTAGAATTCCACTACTGGTCCTTAATTTATTGTTACACTAGCAAGTTGGTCCTTGATTTTTAATAATTGTAGCATAATCAGTTTCTGGTGAAAAAGTCGTTCAAATATTCATTAAATTGTTATGTAACCCTCATTAATATACGTCGCACTTGAAAGTTTTGGACACTAGTTGTTGATAACTAAAATTGACATGATACTTATATATCGATTTAGAAGAAATTTAATCTCTGTTTGGTAGAGATTAAAATAAAAATTTTAGCAGATTTTGATAAAAATTATGAAATGGGTGATTGAAAAGTTGTGGGTCTCATGAAATATGAATTAAAATTAATTTCTGACTTTGATAAAAAATTAGGTTTTAATTTCTATCAAATATGGGCTTAGTAAAGTAATAGTACTTAATTGCTGAAACATCACAAGGAAAAAGATACACTTTATTGAGTAAGGATTTATAGTGTAATACAGAGAAAAAAAAGGCTTAGTTGGACATCTACTCCATTAAATAGGCTTCAAGATAGAGGATTGTGGCCTTCCATCTTGTCAAGTTAGTATATGTTCATGAGTTGCATATCACCGTCCTGATTAAATAGATTTCATCGATTGAGAAGTTCACTCCGACCAGATCATTATAACATCTAAGTCATAGCCTGTGGCCCAGGTCATTATTGTCCGCAACTTAGGTAATCATTACTTTCTAATAATTAGTGAACATGATGGTGCTGATATCAGAGGTAACATCTTCCAGTCTCTGATTAATTGTCATGGGAGGTATTGATGTCATAGATGGTTCATTCATGCAGATTAATTATGGTGTTCCCAGAAGACTACAACATTAACCATTTTAACTTGGTCCAACCCCATCTCATAGGCATGGAATTTTAGTAATTAACCTTTTTTAATCACTTTGAGGTCATAATCTATCCGATGTGGCTCCTGAGATTGAGCACCAACACTAGCCACGTTGAGAAGCTTTGTAAAGCTAGACACGCGGGTCACACTATCAATAAAGAGATTTGAATGGTTTGTAAAAACATAGACACTGACATGTTCCTTTTTCAAAATTAGGGATAAATTTGTTATCTATTTATCTAGCAGTGACAAAAAAGCGCGGAGGCTCGGGCTCGATCGAACCGAGCCCCACTTTGGAGAGCCGGCTCTAGCCCGGGCCGGCCCGTGGCCCGGGCGAGCCACCTATTTAAAAAAAAAAAATTTTTTTTTTTAAGGCAACTAAGAAAAAGTAAAAAATAATAATAAAAAAATCAAAAAATTCGAGCCGGCTTGGGCCGCTAAGGCTCGGGCCAAAAGCTTGGGCCAAGCTTCATTTTTTTTGGTCGAGTTCAGCTTGACTCGGCTCGGGCCAAAAAAAGCTCGGTCCAAAAAAGGTAGGGCTCGGCTCGGCTCGTTGACATCACTATACTTATCCATTACTCATTTTTATGTATTTATAGATTAAATCGTTTTTAAATTCTTCCCCGAACGAGGTTCAAATTTAATTAGCATTAATCAATCAATTTGTTTTCAAATGATTTTTATTTTTATTAATAGAAACTAGCTTCTTATAGTTTGTAAAGTCAACTTCATTTAGTCCATTGAATTGTTTAACAATATTTTGATGTACAAGTTTGTGGTTGGTGACTAGACATGAAGTTCACTCATCACGTGCGATGAGGTTCAAAATCACCCCTCTTAATTTCAATCGCTTTCAGAGATATAAGTAAAAAAATGTACATATCAAATCAAAATTTATATTTTTATAGTTGGGCGGTGAGTTTGGTGTTACTTGTTGGACAAAGTATAATAACGTCACATATCTTTTATGACTGTAGATAATATAAAACCTCAATCATTCAATATTGGCCACAAACGTTAGTGCATTAATAGTAAAATTGTAATGATTTGATTCAAGACCAACATTGCTCATTTGACGAATAATCTCTAGTTTTCATATATTGATTTATATTTTAATATTCGTCAAAATTTATCTCTTAATTTGTCCTGGTGGTTCATTTGAACAAATCAATTTTGAAATACATGTGCTAATTTGAATTTTAATCGAATCGAATTGCTCGTTGTATTTTATGGACTCTGATACGATATTAAAATTTAAAGTTCCATTTTAAAACATCATCTTATTAAGAGAGTAGTCCAACCCCTTATATATTTGTTAATATTTCAGTATTTAATCGATGTGAAATTTGCCCCTTAACATGCCTTGCTAGATGATTGCTCGTTTGAGCATTATCAATCTTGAAAATCATGTACTCATTTAAGTCAAACGAATATAATTCCTCATTTGAATTTAATTGACTCTACTATCATATTAAAACTTAGTGACCAAAACCTTATATATTGATTTATATTTCGACGCTTTCGAGCTCTTGAGGGCGGAAGCATCTTGGTCCTTGGTTCCATCCCCTGGGGCCTTTTCATTTTTTTTAAATTGACGGAAACTACTAATATGTTTTAAAATTCTATTGAATCGAGCGACCTAGTCAAGGATCAATACTTCGATGGACACTTGACACGTCTCACCAAAAAATGCAAATTACGTCAATCTTCTATGGATCATACAACTCAAGACTTTAGATTAGTGAAATAGTGATGAAGGATTGGCGAAAATATGCAGACACTGCAAGAACTCTGAATTTTTATCACATCCAACCTATAATTTACCTTCATTTATTTCTTATTCATTTTCCATATAATTGCTATTTAGAGAATATTCTCAAGTTTTACATTTTCATCTCATGGAGCAACTATATAGGAAGTTTATGATAAACGGCTTAAAATTACCAGATTACAAGCAGAAATATAAAAGCACTCAACACGGCGAATATTTATTACTAATTATCTAATGTCGACCAAATATACCAGCCCAGTTGCTCAACCTCCTCCTCCTGCCGCTGCTCTTCGGCCGCCACTAACAAATTCGAGAAATAGCAGCCACCATCGTCACTGCCATCCTCCTCCTCAGATTGAATACCCTCCACCCCTGCGGCCACACAACCCATGTAATAATTGTTCGGAAAATAGGAATCCCCACTGTCCACAAGCTGTGGACCTTCCTGATCATCGACCACTGAACTTCCGTCACTGCCGCTGCTGAGGCGGTCCTCCACCTTCACATTGAGTTGGACAGGGGTGGTATCGGTTGGAGCATCCACCGGGAGTGGATTCGATTTCTCTCCTGCAGCCTCATTTCCTTGCATCTTCTCTGTCAAGGAAAGAACCTGCATGCGTGCACAATGCACAATAAGATAGTTATTTCTCAAGGGTATAATCCTTAGGGTAACAATAGCTGACTTTTTAATGATCAAAGGATGCTATAAAACTAATAGTTGCAATTCGGAAAATAGGTTGGGGACCAACCAATAGTGCAATATTCTTGATTAATCAATGCATAGAACAATTTTGTCATTTATGGAGATCTATTCATTTTTCAAAGTTCAAATCATTTCTTTATAGCTGGTGGGGTTTAGAACAGATTCTATTTTATTTGACTGATGCAAGAATAAAATTTCTGAGCTTGACAGGTATGTTATTTTTATAGCTCAGGACGAATATTTAGCTTAGGACCCAGTCCAAGAGGTCCGGGTCCTTATCATGTATATGAACAAGCAACTTCGCTCGTAAAATTCATATATATATATATATACTACATGCGCGCACATAGAACGAAAGATGCCAAGGTCATTTTCGAGTGACCTTGTAATAAGGGTCACACTTGCAATAGGACACGCTTGCAACAATTTTAAAATGATAATTATATGTATTTGAAATGACTTCAGAAGAGCCACCCAATGTAACACGGCAAAAAATAAAGAAAAATCACAAGTTTCTATCAATATGTGATTTTACCTCAGCTTTCAGTTTCTCATTATCTTTGAGAATGGAGTCATAATTGGACACTAGAGAATCATACGAGGACTTGAGTTGATCATAATCCCTTTCGAGCTGTTTGGTCTTCCACCGTGCACGGCGGTTTTGGAACCACACCGCCACCTGCCTTGGCTGCAGGCCTAGCTTCTTAGCCAGCTGGGTCTTGCGATCTGGCTCCAGCTTGTTCTCCGTTTCAAAGCTTTTCTCCAGCAAGTGCACCTAAATCAACCCATCGCACTAATTGAAAAAGAGTAATTACATGCTAAGTGCAACAAAATTTAATCACTTTTCATCATTCATGCATCAGATTATGGATTTACTACAGTGCCCAGCTAATTTGTCAAATAACATGCAAAAACTTATTTAAAAAGGATTACGATAAGGTAAAATTCGACCTGCTCAGGAGTGAGACGGCGCTTCTTCTCCGGCAATTGTTCGTCATAATATTCTTCATCATACAAATCTTCCGGCGAGCTGAAAAAAGGTCGCCTCTTCGAGGTTTCCTCCATTTTCATCTCCGATCTTGCTCCTATAACATAATTATTGAAAAATAACAATAATCTGATTACTTTATCCGAAGTAAATGAATCTAAGCTGGTATGATTCTATTTATTAGCTACCGTTAGTATGTATGGATTCAAAGAGACTACCTCGATAAACAGAGTCACCGTTGCCAAGAAATAACATGTTGCCATGGTACGAGGGGTCAAAGAAAATACGACCGGATTCCATTTCTTTCATCAGATCTCCGGCGACCAAATACACTGTTATCAATATATATGTATATATACACACGACAGAACCCCGTAAATATTTTTTCCGGCGAAAAACAAGACAATCTACTTAATAATAAGCGGTTGGATTTTTAACAAAAATTCTAGAATAGCATGATCTTGTGGCGGAAGAAGCTAGTGCTCCAGAGCAACCTTGTCGGAGTCTCCAACGGACAGATGCAAAATGACATCATGCGAAGTACTACCTTTCCCAGCTCAGGTCCGGTGCCGATTTTTCCGAAGAAAGATCAATTGACTAGTTTTTTTTTTTTTTATTTATGCCGGAGCCGGTAGGCTTTAGATCCCGGCGGGACTAATTCACTCTCTTATGCCACTGGTAAGTGCTGTTTGCAACTAAAGTTGACTGAGGTGATGCCACGGGGATATATAGCGTTTTCTAAAAGCGAAATTACTATGATAGCCATGTAGACTTTTTTAATTATGCCGTATTGGATTATGATTGATATGGGTATTCTGGGAAATTCCTGATTTGGGTGGGTAAATTGAATAAAATTGGATCTGAGCCGTTGGGGGCCATTGGGAATCGGAGAACGTGCCAGATCAAGAGAGAGGAAGAATCATAAATAGTAGCCATTCTCTACTGTCGGAGGGTCGTCGGGTACGGTTGGGCCGTCACCCCATACTTGTAGTGGGTGCAGTTGACAATCAGATTCTTTACAGTTAACAGCGGTTTTATTGGACAATGACATTGTTTCTCGGTCGAAATAAATTCAATCTTTTCCCTCCACGTCATCTCGATCATATTTGCATGTGTGAGCGGATGCTGCAGAGGACACATGCACATGGACGGATTCCATAGTGGAATAATTAAAAACATCATAATTTCAAGTAAGAACAATTTCCTCTTTAATTGAACCAAGATAAAATTTTAAAAAATTGAGTCCACTATCCATGTGTTTTCCAGTTGTTGCCGTTGGATCCAATTGAGGAATATTAATTTTAATATATAATTCAAAACGAAAATTGGAGCATGTGTCATCAACCTTTTGCTCGAGTAGAAACTTGATCCTCAACTATTGATTATAGTTGAGTAATGTTATTTAGCCTCATTCGGATTACAACCTCAGTTTAGGTGGCTTTAAATCGTCACCTCATGAACATTACGTAAACATGCTGAAACGTGAGAGTCGAGTTTTTTAATTTAAAAAATAATTTGATAGTTAGTCGTTAAGGATAGATATTGTAATATATGAGGTTAGATACCGGCCCACTCCTTTTTAAGATTATAGATCAATTTGCTACTCGAAAAATATATGGGGACCAGTTAAGAAATTTTTCCAACTCAAAATTAAAGAATAATGTATGTGCTTTTCCACCCTAAGAAAGATATGAAAATCACTAATCCCCAAAAGATAGTATATGACCCATGAATCTTTTTGTGGCAATAGATTAGGTATTATTTGAAAGCATCATTAATAAGTCTTAAATTCTCATCTAATAGAGCATCATATTTTACTCTTTAAGTTATAGGAATCAAGGGAGCAACCTATCATCTTCCTTTGTCTTCCAACGCGTTACATTTGTACACAGAATCTTTCATTAATCTTTAATTTTACTCGAGGGTCGTTTTTCTTCGTCACGTCTTTCAAACTTCTTGTTGTCGATAGGACGGATGAGTGTTGTGTTCTCTTTGATAGCATCAAAGAAGACTACATGTCAAGAAATTTATACATATTAGCTTGGAGGGCCGATACCCAATGATAGAACTTAGAAGTAGAAGTCGAGGTACATGAGACATCATTATGGCACAACAGAAGAAATGTCCTCCCTTTACAGTAACGTCCTACAAGACCAATCAATCAAGAGGGTGACAAGATAATTGAGGGCATTTATCTAAGGCCTAAGCATCATCATGACCTTGCCCATAGTCGTGCTCACCAACCATTCGAATTCCACTAAACGGATGGTGGCATAGGGTTCCAAGTAGAAGCATTGTAGTTTCACGTGAATAAGACAGTTAAAATATGCGTACTACTAAAGAGAGGTGAAGCTTCAATGGTGTTGAAGTATTAAAAAGGCATCTTAAACAATCTATAAGTAGCTAGCTAATCAATCCATGTACCTATCGGCATAAACTCTAGTGCTGTCCCTTTGCCATTAGGCGGATCTTGCATTTTTTTATTAGGTTAATTAATCTCCTAGTGGAGGAATCTGTTTACATAATTAATGCTTAAAGATAGTTGGTGGGATGAAACAATTACTCAAAGGCTCCCGATCGTAGGCGGAATTAGATATTTTTAACATTTACTAATATTTATCGATAAACGTGCAATGTACGCATCTACGAGAGATGTAACTCCTTATTGAGTAATGCTATGTAGCCCCACTGGGGTTACAAGCATTACTCTTCCTTATTTGCTAAGGTAAGGCAAGAAACTATCACGTGGAGGTGGAGGTGACTTTTTATCTTTTGACCAGTAATGGACTCAAGTTTTGAACTTTCTTCTTTGGCTGGTAGCTTTAGACAAAGGTAAGGATGGTTAAAAACTCCATGAAGTAGGTAGCTTAATGAGGAGGATGAAATTGTAAAGCAAAAACTTTATAAAGGGAAAAAGGCACCTGAGGCTGAGAAGGAACCATGCTTTTGTGATATGTTTCCTTAGTGTTGGTCTTTTTGCATATGCTCAACAAAGAAAGATCACTGATCTAAAGTGGAAGTGGGATTTTAGAGGGAACTTAGTGCTGCTTTCTTTCATGTCACTATCTTCTCAACTACTCTCCCCCACTTTCATCCACTTCTTTACTTATCCGTGTTGCCATCGTCAACCTTTAGAACACCTTTGATACACGGTACACGATAAAACCAAATAATGTTATGAACAAGAATCTGTGGTCTAAACATTTCATCCAGACATTTTTTTATATGTAAAATTAGACGGGACAACAAACAAATGCGTCACAAACATATGTTTCAACAATATAGTGTATCAAACATTTCATCATTGTGCATAATTGATAATTGCACACTCGACTATGACCATGGATATGACAAACAAATGAGTTTTAATGCTTGTGATGTTTATATACATACATATGTAATAGTATGAGTTTTATTTTGCGAAATTGTGATAAATAGTTGATACACTTTATTGTCGTTGAACCTTAAATCTCGGCGATCTAGCTTTAAACAGGTTCTACTCACCTCTTTGTTTGTCTATGCATCGCCTGCTCATTAACACATTGTCAAAGGCAAAGACGGCCAATTAAGAAAAAAGTTTGACGATCATTTCTACTCCAACAATCAAGTGAGAATATTGTCATGATCTAATCCGATCCAATTAAATCGGCACTACTATTGTCTAGGCATTTAATGCAAGACCTCTTCGCCATGCCACGGAATATATAACCGTTGTTCTAAAAAGCTCGTCTCTACAAAAAGCTTGATCTTGTTGCCTAATCACACTCTATGCATTTTTACGTATAAATTTTTTCTAGACTTTGCCTAAACCTGGTTAGATTAGTGAAAACTTGAAACTTGGCTTTGTCGCCTACCCACGCTCTTTTTAGAACATCGAGTATAACAACTACAATTAAGATATGTTTGACAAAGTGTTTGTGACCAACTTAATGAGAGATAATGACGAATAATTTAACAAATTCACTGGAAAATGAAAAGAAATATCAAATATGACACCTCATGTTTCCGATTAAACTTGAAAGGAAAAAAAATCGTTATCTACAAATTTCTACATGTTCGATACCCACAAATTTCTACATGTTCGATGCCACAGCGCTTATAAAAATGTCATGTGCAGAATATTTGGGCTGTTACATAAACGCGTCTAGTAGACGAGGAATGTGGCTTTAGTTCCATGCTTCAAGTAGTATAAATTTGAAGAATACTTTCGATAGGTGACCTCACAATTACTATAGATGTGCTCACCATTCTAAAAAAAACGTAAAGCGCGATTAGACGTGCAGGTGAAACTTCAAGTTTTACAAGTTTAAACGAGTATAGGCGAGGTTTAGGAGTAAAAAAAAAAAAAAAAAATCAGAAAATAATTCCTACCATTAGTCAATTATATAATTTTCAAATTTTTGAGAAGCAAAAATTAGAATATTTTTCATAGTTTCATATTTCAACTAGACAAATCATACTTAATAAATTTATAGGAACTTTATACATGTTTTTGGAGTTTACAACAAAATAACGAATCTCAAAATCATAATACATAATGTAGATAGCACCTTAGCTTAAATTTTATAACTATTTAGATAAAATCATTTTTAACTTTTGTACGGACAAAATTTTTTAAAAACTTGAAATTAAAGTCAAATGAAAAGGTTTTTTAAAAATAGAAAAAATTAATAAGGTAAAGTCAAATAAAAGACTTTTAAAAAAGTAAAAAATAAAAAATAATAATAAAACGCGCATAAGGAAGACGAAAGAAATGAAGGAAAAAATTCAGTTGTTTAAAAATTGGAAAAAAAAAAAGTCAAGGCGTTAAGAGAGGCATTTTGCCTGAGTTTCAAACCACTAGATGAGCTTTTTAGAATACTAGATGTGATCAATAATTACAGAAAAATGAAGGGTTACTAGTCCTAATGTCCTCTTTTCTCTAACTTTAATCCTATAGATATGCCAATTGGGCTTTGTGGCCTAGTTAGATGAGTTGGGCAACCCAATAGTGTGGGCCATTATTGGATGGATCACTTATGAAAGATGGACTTGGAAGTTCCCGGGTCAGGTAAACCAAATCCAATTCTTAAAGTGGATACCCACTGTAAACCCATTCGAATCTCCAGTGAAAAGGGTTAAAAAATGTTAGGACCTGTTTGTCGTTTTTCTGTCCATTCAATTTCTACGCTACATTCTTATTCTTCTTCTTTTCTTTTTTCTGGGAAATGCTCTTTTATAGTACGTTGTACGTGAAATTGTAACAACTTTGTGACATATATTTATATATTTATTTACATATATATTAGAGAACTAGGATAAAAATTTACCAAATTTATCTTATGCATAAATTTATCGATAAAAGTCACAAAATACCGAATTAAAGAGTCTCTATCTTAATTTTTGTTATGAAACTCCGACTTTTCCAAAAAAATTAATTAATTCCAAATCCGATGTGATGTACGTACTTATGAATTCTCGATTATTTATTGTTGTCGGAGTAGGAATTAGGGTTTATTTTTAGCGTTGAATTGTGGGCTTATGCTACTCCATGAGTCTTTCATATGTGTCAAATTAACTTTTTACAAGAACTAGAAGCAAGAGCACAAGTCTTGTTAAGCGGACAATTAAAAACCTTAAAAACTTTGCAAATTCAATATTAATGGAAGGCTGCAAAACATTGCTAATCTATCTAGAATATGAAAAACAAAAAAAGAAGAAAAAATCTGAATTTTTTGGGGGTGAGAGGAAGAAAATCAGGCGGGTGGTGCTGATGGCTTCCAGTCTATTCTAGCGGACTCGAGTGGCACTTCAGATGGCATAACACCTTGTTGTGCTTTCACGAAATAGCTAAAATAAACATATACGCAGAGCTGGATCAACCCTAGAAGTGCTCCAATTCCGTTTCCAACCTATGAACAAGAAAAAAATTGTAATTTTCAATGAAAAAAGAAATCATTATAATTCTAGATTAATTAAGCTATTTTCGAAAATGAACTTACAGCGAGATAGGGATCAATAGTCTTGAGGAAAGCATACGTAAACCAGAAGAGTCCATTCATGAAACCAGCGAAGCACAGCCAAAATGGCAAGAATTCTACACTCTTTGTTTTAAATACCTTTCTCTGTTGATCATTAAGAAACGTGATCGCTATATATATATTTTGATAAAGAGAGTATATAATCTAAATAAGTTGGAATTTACTTACAACGATAGACAGAGGGGATCCGTACATAATGATACCAAAGATATCACAGACCACACCCACAAACATGGATCTTGCTTGGTGGGAGTGGAAGAAATGGAGTGTTAAGACAACCATAACAGCAAACACTGCTATCTCACCCAGAAGAAAAAGCAGAATGGTTCTCTGAAACACAAAACAAGACGTTGTCGATTTTGAGAATTAGAAATCCTAATTCTACCAATAAGAGCAATAAATTCAAGGAAAAAAATAGACATAAGAACGTCAAAATGTGAGATTGTACGTCATCTTCTGTCTCTTCATTATTTCAGTATACGGTAAACAAGTTTAAAAGAGAAAAATATTGCACGTCCTATCTTTTGTAACCTTTCAATTTTACGATGGAAACTCTAATGAAGATTTCTAATTTATAAGATAAATTAGGGCAAAATCAAGATTTACATGGATTCAAATTCTTAAATTATAATTAGGCTCCAAACTAAATAGTCAAGATCGGTGTCGACTACAAATTTATTGAGCTTACTCTATTTTTGGGGCTGGTGAAGACGAAGAAAATNAATAATTCCTACCATTAGTCAATTATATAATTTTCAAATTTTTGAGAAGCAAAAATTAGAATATTTTTCATAGTTTCATATTTCAACTAGACAAATCATACTCAATAGATTTATAGGAACTTTATACATATTTTTGGAGTTTACAACAAAATAACGAGTCTCAAAATAATAATACATAATGTAGATAGCACCATATCTTAAATTTTATAACTATTTAGATAAAGTCATTTTTAACTTTTGTACGGACAAAATTTTTTAAAAACTTGAAATTAAAGTCAAATGAAAAGGTTTTGTAAAAATAGAAAAAATTAATAAGGTAAAGTCAAATAAAAGACTTTTAAAAAAGTAAAAAATAAAAAATAATAATAAAACGCGCATAAGGAAGACGAAAGAAATGAAGGAAAAAATTCAGCTGTTCAAAAATTGGAAAAATAAAAAGTCAAGGCGTTAAGAGAGGCATTTTGCCTGAGTTTCAAACCACTAGATGAGCTTTTTAGAATACTAGATGTGATCAATAATTACAGAAAAATGAAGGGTTACTAGTCCTAATGTCCTCTTTTCTCTAACTTTAATCCTATAGATATGCCAATTGGGCTTTGTGGCCTAGTTAGATGAGTTGGGCAACCCAATAGTGTGGGCCATTATTGGATGGATCATTTATGAAAGATGGACTTGGAAGTTCCCGGGTCAGGTAAACCAAATCCAATTCTTAAAGTGGATACCCACTGTAAACCCACTCGAATCTCCAGTGAAAAGGGTTAAAAAATGTTAGGACCTGTTTGTCGTTTTTCTGTCCATTCAATTTCTACGCTACATTCTTCTTCTTCTTCTTTTCTTTTTTCTGGGAAATGCTCTTTTATAGTACGTTGTACGTGAAATTGTAACAACTTTGTGACATATATTTATATATTTATTTACATATATATTAGAGAACTAGAATAAAAATTTACCAAATTTATCCTATGCATAAATTTATCGATAAAAGTCACAAAATACCGAATTAAAGAGTCTCTATCTTAATTTTTGTTATGAAACTCCAACTTTTCCAAAAAATTTAATTAATTCCAAATCCGATACTATGTTTTTAGTTAGCAAGATTATGTGATGTACGTACTTATGAATTCTCGATTATTTATTGTTGTCGGAGTAGGAATTAGGGTTTATTTTTAGCGCTGAATTGTGGGCTTATGCTACTCCACGAGTCTTTCATACGTGTCAAATTAACTTTTTACAAGAAGTCTTGTTAAGCATACAATAAAAACCTTAAAAACTTTGCAAATTCAAATATTAGCGAAAAAATAAAAATAAAAATCTATTAGTATAATGGCTGCAAAACATTGCCAATCTATCTAGAACAAGAAAAAAAGATCTGAATGTTTTGGGGGTGGGAGGAAGAAAATCAGAGGGGTGGTGCTGATGGCTTCCAATCTATTCCGGCGGACTCGAGTGGCACTTCAGATGGCATAACACCTTGTCGTGCCTTCCCGAAATGGCTAAAATATACATATACGCAGAGCTGAATCAACCCTAGAAGTGCTCCAATTCCGTTTCCAACCTATATATGAACAAGAAAAGATTGTAATTTTCAATGAAAAAAGAAATCATTATAATGCAAGAATTAAGTTATTCTGGAAAATGAACTTACAGCGAGATAGGGATCAATAGTCTTGAGGAAAGCATACGTAAACCAGAAGAGTCCATTCATGAAACCAGCGAAGCACAGCCAAAATGGCAAGAATTCTACACTCTTTGTTTTAAATACCTTTCTCTGTTGATCATTAAGAAACGTGATCGCTATATATATATTTTGATAAAGAGAGTATATAATCTAAATAAGTTGGAATTTACTTACAACGATAGACAGAGGGGATCCGTACATAATGATACCAAAGATATCACAGACCACACCCACAAACATGGATCTTGCTTGGTGGGAGTGGAAGAAATGGAGTGTTAAGACAACCATAACAGCAAACACTGCTATCTCACCCAGAAGAAAAAGCAGAATGGTTCTCTGAAACACAAAACAAGACGTTGTCGATTTTGAGAATTAGAAATCCTAATTCTACCAATAAGAGCAATAAATTCAAGGAAAAAAATAGACATAAGAACGTCAAAATGTGAGATTGTACGTCATCTTCTGTCTCTTCATTATTTCAGTATACGGTAAACAAGTTTAAAAGAGAAAAATATTGCACGTCCTATCTTTTGTAACCTTTCAATTTTACGATGGAAACTCTAATGAAGATTTCTAATTTATAAGATAAATTAGGGCAAAATCAAGATTTACATGGATTCAAATTCTTAAATTATAATTAGGCTCCAAACTAAATAGTCAAGATCGGTGTCGACTACAAATTTATTGAGCTTACTCTATTTTTGGGGCTGGTGAAGACGAAGAAAATGCATAGATAGATCAACTCCATGGCGAGACCAATGCCGTTGATGGTAACAACAAGAAGGCTATCAGGATGAACAATTGGTAAACCATAGAATATCCAGAACACACAGTTCATCACAGTGGCTAGGTACGGGTACGGGTGAAACTCCTCTGTGGCTCTTCTCTTTATAATTCTCCAGAAAGTTAGCCTGTAAAAATTATTTTAGTCTTCAGTTCACCACAATAAAAATTATATACATGATCGCATGGGGAGAGAGAAAGAGAGAGAGGTTACACTGGAGACAGAAATAGGCCGAAAGAGATTACATTCCCTGCAAATAACAAATAAAATTTTAGGAAGAAGTATTTTTCAAAAACTAAACATAGTATTTTAACCCTAGATTTTAATCCCTACCAAATTGGAGCATAGTGGAGAATGTTGCTATTTTTTTAGCGTAGTTTGATGCATCACATAAGATTAAGGGAAGGTTCATATATTCACACCATGATTTTTAATAACTAGATTATATTTTAATTGCACGAAAAATTTATAAGCTTAGATATTATCACATTTATGTTTCAAACTTTTTTCATCGCATTCTTATTCTCAAATAACATAAATTGTTCCTACAGATTATGATTTATCTTCAAAACATTTTTTGAGATAAAGTAAAAGACTCATTTGCCCATTTTATTTTTAAATAAGCAAAATAATAATAATGCGAACATGTGATTAAATATTTGACATCATTTTAAAGTACGTTACAATGTTTTTGAACTAAAATAAAGATTAAAGACAAGATTTTCTGATCATGAAATATTAAAAATAAAAATGTGATGAAGAAAAAAGTTAAGAATATAAGTGTGATAATGAATAAAAGTTAATATCATTTAATGTAATTAAAATGTGATGTATTTAAAAAAAAACGTGGTGTGAATATAAATACCCTTAAAGTGAATAGAATTACGGATGTTATATTGGTACATCACTTGGTACAAACTAAGTAATTATTTTCTCAAATAAGTGATTTTACTTATAAGATATTTTTAAAAAAAAATAAAAGTGATTTGTTTCTTATAAGTACTATTTTTTACTTATTATCATTTTATACATATAATATATTTTGTATCTTATAAATGATTTTTTTTTATTTACAAGTTAATTTCGTAATTATTAGTAATTTTTTACTTATTAGTGGATTTTTAGGTATAAATAGTATTTTTAATTATAAGAAAATTTGTTATAAAAAATAATTTTTTGTTTTAGAAATGATTTTTTTTAGTCATAAGTTGAATCTTTTACTTTCGAGTGAACTCTTTACCTTTATAGGAAATTCGACTCCATTTGAATAGTTTTTAGTTCTATATGGTGTAATACCATGTTTCTGTTAATTTCAACATATTCAATATGCATATTTATTTTTCAATCACACATTTCTAATAATTTTATCCAAACACTTTTATTGCATTCAAATGTACCTTTAAAGCACAACCTGTAAGTGTTATGCCCTAAATCCAATCAACTTTGGACATAAACACTTTGAATATATATATATATATGGCAATATCTATTAGGATTGCAGATCGTGATCATTGGAGTTCAAGAAAAAGTAAAAGAGTTTGTAGAATTCATTAAAGGTATCATTCTCATCACAGTTTCTATCTAAACACATTGTAGATCCTCATTTGGGAATTGAAAATTATTTTATTTTCGTTGTGTATGTTAAGTAAATTTCCAACACAACCAAACTAAGCATGAATTTTAAAATCTCACACTTGAAATTAGCTTTGAAATTTGGCATTGTCGTTTAGAAAAAAATGTGGCTTGTCTTACAAAGGAAGTACGAAGACACAACTATAGAGATTTCAATGAATCTATCTACTAATACATCAAATTGTCAACTTTCGAGCGGTCTTCTCCATCCAACTAATTGCTTTCTATTCTTTAGATTTCTCATTCTAGTACTTGTACTCTTTAGCATCCGTCTTGCTCAATTGTAGGGATGGCAAAGACGCGGGGCAAAGTGGAGCGTGGCAGTCTTCCCCATTCTTATCTTACCAGAATTTTCATATCGCCAGGCAATCTCCTACCGCTACTGTTAGTGAATTAGGTTCTCTCTAATTTATCTTTTCGTTGGTATATTGCACAAATATGAATCAGATATTTGAACATTGGACTCTAAAGTTATCCCACGCCAAAACTTTAACATCCATATACTTCTTCTTTCTTTTTGCAATAAAACTAAATGGGTAATCAACATTTAATTTTATACATACTTTACAAAAATTCATAGATTTAATGCAAATCCAATAAGAAAAAATGTATTTCAAGTTGAATCTTTCGTGAATACTCAAATTTCTCATTGTTTTCAAAGTGGTCGATCATCAAAATCAAGATCTTCTCCTTGAAGATAATCTAATTACAAATACTACATACATTCTTTAATATATGTTATTGTATGATTTTTTTTAAAAATTAATTTCTTATTTAAATTTTACTGTTTATATTTTGTTTAATAATTTATCCTTTTATGCCCTTATTATTGATCTTTAGGCTGGTAGTGTATTTTTGTTTGTTGCCTTATTTAACTATCTCTATTTTATCTATTTTTAATGGACAAGTAATGTAATACTTTATTTTTATAAACTTTCTAATATAAAGAATCTGATCGAATCGAATTGGAACCAATTGGTTCGGTTCCTGTTTGGTTCAATTTCAATCCCACAATTTTCACAGAAAAGAAGAAAAACCTCAAAATCAAATTTGATACCTCATGTTTCGAGACTTCACTACACCAAAAATAAGCTTTTACAACACATAAAAGGCAACATTCGATAGTTAAGTGTTGCTAAAGGGGTCCATCGCAACATTTTGATAAGTGAATGTTGCAATTGATTAGTATAATTGAGTTTTAGCAACATTTTATAAATAAACGTTGCAAAAAGTGCATTTCGCAACGTTTATTAAACGTTGCAAAAGATTTTTTTCGATTATTTATTGTTGTCAGTGTAGGAATTAGGGTTTATTTTTAGCGCTGAACTGTGGGCTTATGCTACTCCACGAGTCTTTCATACGTGTCAAATTAACTTTTTACAAGAAGTCTTGTTAAGCATACAATAAAAACCTTAAAAACTTTGCAAATTCAAATATTAGCGAAAAAATAAAAATAAAAATCTATTAGTATAATGGCTGCAAAACATTGCCAATCTATCTAGAACAAGAAAAAAAGATCTGAATGTTTTGGGGGTGGGAGGAAGAAAATCAGAGGGGTGGTGCTGATGGCTTCCAGTCTATTCCGGCGGACTCGAGTGGCACTTCAGATGGCATAACACCTTGTCGTGCCTTCCCGAAATGGCTAAAATATACATATACGCAGAGCTGAATCAACCCTAGAAGTGCTCCAATTCCGTTTCCAACCTATATATGAACAAGAAAAGATTGTAATTTTCAATGAAAAAAGAAATCATTATAATGCAAGAATTAAGTTATTCTGGAAAATGAACTTACAGCGAGATAGGGATCAATAGTCTTGAGGAAAGCATACGTAAACCAGAAGAGTCCATTCATGAAACCAGCGAAGCACAGCCAAAATGGCAAGAATTCTACACTCTTTGTTTTAAATACCTTTCTCTGTTGATCATTAAGAAACGTGATCGCTATATATATATTTTGATAAAGAGAGTATATAATCTAAATAAGTTGGAATTTACTTACAACGATAGACAGAGGGGATCCGTACATAATGATACCAAAGATATCACAGACCACACCCACAAACATGGATCTTGCTTGGTGGGAGTGGAAGAAATGGAGTGTTAAGACAACCATAACAGCAAACACTGCTATCTCACCCAGAAGAAAAAGCAGAATGGTTCTCTGAAACACAAAACAAGACGTTGTCGATTTTGAGAATTAGAAATCCTAATTCTACCAATAAGAGCAATAAATTCAAGGAAAAAAATAGACATAAGAACGTCAAAATGTGAGATTGTACGTCATCTTCTGTCTCTTCATTATTTCAGTATACGGTAAACAAGTTTAAAAGAGAAAAATATTGCACGTCCTATCTTTTGTAACCTTTCAATTTTACGATGGAAACTCTAATGAAGATTTCTAATTTATAAGATAAATTAGGGCAAAATCAAGATTTACATGGATTCAAATTCTTAAATTATAATTAGGCTCCAAACTAAATAGTCAAGATCGGTGTCGACTACAAATTTATTGAGCTTACTCTATTTTTGGGGCTGGTGAAGACGAAGAAAATGCATAGATAGATCAACTCCATGGCGAGACCAATGCCGTTGATGGTAACAACAAGAAGGCTATCAGGATGAACAATTGGTAAACCATAGAATATCCAGAACACACAGTTCATCACAGTGGCTAGGTACGGGTACGGGTGAAACTCCTCTGTGTCTCTTCTCTTTATAATTCTCCAGAAAGTTAGTCTGTAAAAAATATTTAATCTTCAGTTCACCACAATAAAAAGTATACACATGATTGCATGGACTGAATGAAAGAGAGAGAGAGGTTACACTGGAGAGAGAAATAGGCCGAAAGAGATTACATTCCCTGCAAATAACAAATAAAATTTTAGGAAGCAGTATTTTCAAAAATTAAACATGGTACGCTTATGGTTTTAAGAACACAGTCGATAACAATAACTAGGGCTAACCAATGATGCCGATGATCGTTCGAGCAAGAGCTTCTGCTCCATGGTTCGTCATTGTTGCAAATTACTCAAAACTCGAGAAAATTTTGAAGACAGAAATTGAACTCTATAGAGAAAAGAAGGCAACTGTTATACATATATATAGGCAGATTAGGTAGTAAACCGAATCCTAGTACAACTAAGTAGCAGTGCATTAGTAAAACTGGAACATCAATCAATCCTATTACACCACCGAGGAATTCTAGTTGAGTTCGGATTTTGCACTTACTATAATTATGATAGTAGAGAATGTTGCTATTTTTTTTCGGGTAGTTTGGTACGTATAAGATTAAGGGAAGGCTAAATATATTTTTAATAACTAGACTATATTTTAATTGAGCGAAAAATCCATAACCTTTATATAGTATCACATTTATGACTCCAGCTTATTTCTTTTATTTCATTCTTATTTTCGAATAAACATAAATTATTTTTTTATTATGATTTCTCTTCGAAAAAAAAATTTAAATAGAGTACAAATATTCACGTGTCCATTTTATTTTTAAATAAAACAAATAATAATGTGAAAATGTGATTAAATATTTGAATTATTTTAAAGTACATTAACAATATTTTTGGACGAAAATCATGATTAAAGACATAATTTTCTATCAATGACATGTTAAAAATAAGAAGGTGACGAAGAATAAAATTTAAGAATATAAATGTGATGATGAACAAAGGTTAATGGCCTAAAAAGTGATTTGTTACTTATAAGTACTATTTTTTAATTATTATCATTTTCTACGTATAATAAATTTTGTATCTTAAAAATGATTTTTTTTTTTGTTTACAAGTTAATTTCGTAATTATTAGTAATTTTTTTAGGTATAAGTAGTATTTTATTTATAAACAATTTTGTTGTAAAAAATTATTTGGGTCTTAGAAATTATTTTTCTAATCATAAGTAGAATCTTTTACTTATGAGTAAACACTTTACCTTTATAGGCAATTCGATTGTATTTGAATAGATTTTATTTCTATATGATGTATATCACGTTTCTATTAATTTGAACAATATATTCACTATACGTATCTATTTATGAATCACACATTTCAAATAATTTTAACAAGCACAACCAATCTAAGCGTGGATTTTAAAGTCACACACATAAAATTAACTTTGAAGTTTGGCATTGTCATTAAAAAAAAATGTGGCTTGTCTTAAAAAGGAATAACAAAGACTCAACTATAGAAATGTCGATGAATATTGTATCCACTAATACGTCACATTGTCAACTTTCAAGCAGTCTTCTCCAGGCAACACTTGCTTTTTATTCTTTAGACTTCTCATTCTAGTACTTGAAGACTCTATTTGTCTAGCCTTAGCATCCCTCTTGCTCAATTGTGATCTGGGTTGTGACCGTAAAAAAAACATGTTAACCGTACAAAAAAATATAGCGGAGCAGTCGCCGGAAAAATCGACGCTAGAACGGTCACCGGAATCGGAGTAGTCGCCGANCAAGCAGTCTTCTCCAGGCAACACTTGCTTTTTATTCTTTAGACTTCTCATTCTAGTACTTGAAGACTCTATTTGTCTAGCCTTAGCATCCCTCTTGCTCAATTGTGATCTGGGTTGTGACCGTAAAAAAAACATGTTAACCGTACAAAAAAATATAGCGGAGCAGTCGCCGGAAAAATCGACGCCTGAACGGTCGCCGAAATCGAAGTAGTCGTCGGAACGATCGTCGAAAAGTTTGCCGAAGTAGGACGGTGATCGGAACGGTCGCCGGAGCGATAGGGGTGGTGAAGGTGAGAGGGGTTAATTATATTATATTATAATTAAATATTTAATAATAAATTAATTTAATAATTTATTATTTCATAAATAAAAATTTAAAAAAAATCTAATTTTGGTAACTTTAAACTTGTGTTTTTATTTTTGAAATAAATTAAACTTATACTCTTGAATATATAATTTTCCCTAATCCAAATATAATTACCCAAAGGAAATGGAGTGTGGCTCGACAGCCCAATTATAAAATCTGAGCCTGGACCAAATTCAGGAAGCCCGCATAAGTTTATCTTATCCAGAATAATATTTTCTTCGAGTATCTATCAAACAACTTCAATTCTCCACCCATTGGGAATTTGATTCTTTAATTCAATTCCCCACAAAACCTTATCTCCTTCTCAATCCTTCTCTTTTGCCACATCCACATTTTCCTCCTCTACTTTTCTTCCATTTGTACTGTTCCTCATTTGGTTCTTTGAAGATCGTAATGTCACCAATATTTTGCTGACACTGTAATAAATAATCGTCAATGGCGGCCTTAATTTCCTGCCATCAGTTTGCTTCTCTACAATTGAAAACTACCCATAAACTTATTAAGCATAAAGTACCCTCGAAAAGCATCAATTTTGCCCCATTTGTCAATTATGCTTCCTCTCGGCAATTTAAACCTCTATGTTATTCCCAAATCACGCCTCCGTCTCAGCCTCCAAATGAACAGGCAAGCTCTTCAATCCCGTTGACCGAGAAATTTATTGTTAATTTTCTGTTTATATAATGTGTAAAGATTAGTGCTTTTTTGGAAATTATGCACGTTTGAATTTTTGATAATTGAATTGCTGTTTGTTTGTAAACACTGCTATTAGAACTGCTCAAAGTTAAATCTGGGATTTTGATGAAATATACGATTTGAGCAGGGAAATAGGAGGTCATCAATAAAGGAGTGTGCAATTTCTATAGCATTGGCGATTGGATTGATAACTGGAGTACCAGCATTGGAAGGTGCAGGAGAGGCAAAGGCAAATGCAATTGCAATTGCTCCAGCATTGCCTGATGTTTCAGTTTTGATTTCTGGGCCACCAATAAAAGATCCGGGGGCATTGTTGAGGTACGCCTTGCCTATTGATAACAAGGCTATTCGGGAGGTTCAAAAGCCGCTTGAAGATATTACCGAAAGTCTCAAGGTTGCTGGTGTGAAGGCCCTTGATTCTGTCGAAAGAGTAAACCCCATAATAATCTTTATTAGGATAATTTTGCAGCTCAAATTTGTGATGAGCATAGATATTTGTATATATGTGTTCAAGGGATTTTAAAATATGTTGATCGGTTTACCTTTTATTTTTATTTTTTGCACAATGAACTATAGAATGTTAGACAGGCATCAAGGTCTCTCAAACAAGGAAGAACCTTGATTGTTGGAGGTTTGGCAAAGTCGAAGGTTGATGATGGAATTGAATTGCTAAACAAACTGGAAACCGGACTAGATGAGCTTCAAAAAATTGTGGAGGATAGGAATCGGGATGCTGTTGCACCTAAGCAGAAGGAATTGCTTAATTATGTGGGAGGGTAAGTGTAGCAAATTGTTATTTCTTAATCATTCGTGTTCATGCTGTCAATAAATCTGCTTTAGTTTCATACAAAAGAGTTCAAGTGGTTTTTTGCTATAATGTGATTAATCTGAAAGCACATGGATCTCATGTGGATGTATGCTTATTACATTCATGTTTGCACATTTAGCACTTTTCTAGGTTACCACATTCCAAGTGGTTCTTAGTCCTACTATCTACGCACATAATTCAAATCATTTCCTGTGTAATCGCAGTAATTAATAATTTATGGGATTTGGTTCCTCTGAGGGTATGGAAAATTTTCTATAATGAGAATGTCGTTTTAAAGAATCAGCTTTTAATCCTTTTGGAAACCACTAATGACAATAATCTTGCTCGATTTCTACCAAATTCTACTTGAGGCCTAGAAAATGGGAAGAACTTGAAAAAGTTGATCTTCCTAAAGTATGCTTGTCTCATTTAAACCCTGGTCATTGACTGCAGCTGAGATCTTCCTGGGGCATTGGATTTCTGCAGTGTTGAAGAGGATATGGTGGATGGCTTTCCATATGAAGTACCCGAAGAATATAGAAATATGCCATTGCTGAAGGGAAGAGCAACAGTGGATATGAAGGTCAAGTTGAAAGACAATCCTAACCTGAATGAATGTGTGTTCCGCATTGTTTTGGATGGTTACAATGCCCCTATAACTGCTGGAAATTTTGTCGATTTAGTGGAAAGACATTTCTATGACGGCATGGAGATTCAAAGATGTAAGGCTGCTTGAAGAATGTAAAATGTGGTTTTCTATATAATCCTCAATGACCAACTTATAATTTTGACATGCACATAATAATTGAAGTTAAATTAGGCCTGTTATAATTTCTTGAAACTTAATAGATACTCCTGTTTTTTCTTGTGCAGCGGATGGCTTTGTAGTCCAAACAGGAGATCCTGAAGGTCCTGCTGAGGGCTTTATTGACCCCAGCACAGAGAAAACCCGTACTATTCCTCTTGAAATTATGGTGAATGGAGAAAAGGCGCCCTTATATGGAGAAACTCTGGAAGTAAGTTTCAAGATACCCTTTTATCGTTACCATGAACGTCCCTTTTGGGACTCCTTTGGCAGCTTGATGCTAAGTTATTTTGTTCTTTAACAGGAGGTTGGTCTATACAAGGCTCAAACGAAGCTTCCATTTAATGCATTTGGAACTATGGCAATGGCCAGAGAGGTGAGAATTCTGAACATATAGAACTGATTTAACAAAATCATATATAATTCACTTAATTTGATAGCTATTTATCTTCTCTAAATCAATTAATTGTAATGCTGACAGGAATTTGAGAACAACTCTGGTTCGAGCCAGGTATTTTGGCTACTAAAAGAAAGTGAACTAACTCCTAGCAATGCCAACATATTGGATGGTCGGTATGCAGTGTTTGGTTATGTGACAGAAAACGAGGATTTTTTGGCAGACCTAAAGGTTGGAGATGTTATAGAGTCGGTGCAGGTAGTATCTGGCATAAATAATCTTGCCAACCCGAGCTACAAGATTGCGGGTTAGAAGAAGACTTTCATAGTAATGCATTGTGTTTCAGTAATTCTGTCGTATTGATTCGAGTCTATAATGTTTTTGAGACTTTTGATCTGATGATTAAATGTTAAGCAATCTATTTCAGTAATGACAGCAAAGAATAGGTGTACTTGTATTCAATGATCGGTCACATATTTGTGCAATTTCTATTCTAAACATGAATTCTTCGAAGTTCATGGCACAATTTGATTGCAGGATCAGTCGACAAGAAATTATTTACATAATTTATTTGTAATTGGGGATTTATGAGTTCCCGTGTTCTACTTTCAGAAACACCCTTGATGATGAAAATCTACGTTTTTCTCCAAAACTACAAGAATTCAATTTGACAGCAGTTTCTATTTTGAGATAGAGTTTCATTTGATCCAGAATTTGTTAATTCCACTCTGATGATGAAACGCACAAGGCTTTTTCATTTAAGTTAGACTTAGCACCACAACCATGACTCATTGCTTTGCCAACAATCAAATGGAAGGAATTTATCTTGCATTCAGCAAGGAAAATATATCTTACAACTGACAGGCAAAAGCCACAATACATTGAGCATTCCTGTTCTCAAATATGTAAAAAAAAGTTACTTACATTGAGAACCCATGATAGATACATGATATGTGCATGCACTAACTAGATGATAGATTAATGAGTTAAATGTTTCAACACTCATTGAACTTTGGCATATGTCACGGCCTACTCACCGAACTTCGCAATGCTTCTCACTGGCCGCTCAACTTTAAGTTTTTGCACACCCTTACTCACCGAATGTTTTCCGTCTCTCATTCAGTCCACGTGGATGATGGAATTCTTACGTGGCAGTTAAATCCTTCCAAATATAAAATGAAACGCCTATGTGGTCTCCATGTCATCAAATCTTGATTTTCAGCCCAAACACGCCTTACTCCTGTGAAATGAAAACCTCTTCAAAATGGGGAAAACAGAAATCGTGCAAGGAGAAATCAAGAATCCCCAAAATCATTTGTAACCCTAACCCCGCCCACCCAAATCCATTCTACATCTTCAAGCTTGACAGGAGGGTTGCCCGAGAGGTGGAGAATGCCCTCTATAAAACAGCTATTTTCGGCAGCGACGGAAATCGTAGAAAATGCGGGCATGGTGGCGGTTGATATTCATTCCGCCGCCCAAGGAGGAGAGCTCAACGTCAATAGAAGAACTCTTGGAATTGTGACCCAGAATTATGGAGTAAATCTGCATGTATTACTCAAAGTTAGGGATGGCAACGGCTCGATTCGGGGTCGGTTCGGCCAAAACCATAACCGCACCACCAAATTTTTGGTCATACCATAACCGCACCATAACCACGAAAGTCGGTTCGGTTCGGCTCGATTAATATCTCGGTTCGGTTCGGTTAATAACCACGAAAATAATTTATATTTTATAAATCCAAACTCCAACCGTCAAATTTAAAAAAAAATATATGAAGAAAAGTCAATAAAAATAAAAAAACATGTCAAGATATCTGAAAAATAAAACACATTAATCGAACATATTTAGATCCAGTAATTTGAGTTCAACTTCAACAGAAAGTATGCTTAATCAAATAAATCC